GAGAGAGAGAGAGAGAGAGAGAGAGAGAGAGAGAGAGAGAGAGAGAGAGAGGGCATATGAATGAATGGGAAGAGGAAGAGGATAATTATTATGTGTCTATATTATGAGTATGAGTCACTGGCGACAAAAACGGTATCACTTTTTGATTGCGTAAAATAATATAATCTGCATACAACAATTTTGATGCTTCAATTAGTGTTCACAGCACCTACGTCAAAATATAGAATATTGGCTTTTTTTTTTTCGACCACGAGACATATTTTTTTGGGTCCATTCTTTATTTTGTTCATTTTCCAAATGAAGTTGTTGTCTATGTTTATCCAAAGCCGCTATAACTTTTGATCATTGTCACCCAGGAAAGACAGTTCAGAAGTTAAAACTTAGTACCATCGTAGAATTCGAGCCATTGATATGCTCCCTGCGGTTTAGTGCTGCCGCCAGGACATTCAACGTCACAGAAAAACAGTCGCCAAAGAGCATGCTTTGATATGTTTTTAACGATAGTCAGGCCAGAAGCGCTGAAACGCGCATGGTGTGGCTGTAGCCGCGGCTGTCTCTGCCGTTTTATGAGGGAAAAAATGTATATGATGCGTAATTATGTCAGGTTGCATTTTCATACAGGGGGAAATCCTTTTCAAGCAGTGTCTTTTTATCTTGGTTTTATGGCTGAACAATAAAAATTAAGGAAGAAATGGGGTCTGAAAATATGCGTAGTGACCTAATTACATATTGATATTATTGTTAAAACAAACACAAATGTCATCAATCATTAATAATAATAATAATAATAATAATAAATAGCATTCGTATAGTGCATACCTCCGCAAAACAGCAAGCTCTATGCGCTTTACACTATATGATTACCCCAGCAGACCACAGAACACTCCGAAACATTCTTAGTTTCCCGGGAAGCATACAGTCAAGCAGCTGATTAAGCGCTCAAACACTAACAAACTGACAAGATCTTTCGAAACAAAGTCGGACCCCTGACAGGATTCGAACCCACGACCTTACGATTGCGAGTCCGAAAGCCTAACCATTAGGCCACTGACGCCAATTATTCAAATAACTATTTACTGTATACCGCGGCAAATCAGACAAAAGTTACTTGGCCAATGAATATTGACATAAAATATCAGATCGACCACAAATTTTAGTTAAGCTGAAACAATCACTAAATGCTTCGTTTTTTTGCCTCTCGTGTAAAATTTCAATTTTGGCACATACGTTTTTCTGTAATCAGATGGCAGATCGGAGCGATCTTGTTTTTGTACTGACCCTGCGACTTCGCACGTAGACGTTCCGCTGGTCCATCTTACGAGCCAGGCCGAAGTCTGAGATCTTGACCACTCCATGGTCAAACAGCAGCAAGTTCCTGGCAGCCACGTCACGGTGGACGATCTGGATAGACAAACAGAACAGTTTGTGGTGGCGTGTTTGTTTGCTGGTTGTTTGATTTAGTTTTGGGTGTAGTTTGATTTTCATCTTGGTTTTGTGAGAAAGAGAAAGTGGGG